CAGTGTTCGATCAGAGCATTACAATCACCATAACCTCTTAGTGATAATATTCAATAGATTATAACCTGCTTCATTCATAGTAAATATATTTCAACACCACAAGATTATCAAGAAATATAAAGTTCGTCTGTAATTCACCCTTTTGTAAATCAATTCAAATAAACAGAAATAATAAAGACATGTGTTAATTATTAATCGGTGCATTCACCCTTTACTTGCCCGGCAACCCCACATAACATCTAGTGGGTTTTATTGTTCTACGTTAATTATTGCACGTTTTGGCTGACTAGTCAAATTGTGGGATTATTTTCCGAACATTATTACATTATTATATTTAATAAAGGAAAGACAGGAAACACTGCATATAGTATTGAATAATTGTATTGCCCCTTCCACTTGCCAGTAACACCTCCACCCAACATCTAAGGAGGTTTTTAGTCTGATCCATATGATTCATAAAGAATTAGATTGGTAGAGAAGTGTGTCAGAACACAAAAATAACACGAGTAAAAATTGTATATAATAACAAAATGCATTCATTACAATTGTACTTGTACAAAATGCAACTCGTCGTTCCGACTTGTTTTATCAAGGCCGGTACGACAGATACAATTTGATGCCGTTGACAACTCAGAGACCACAGGTGTCGTGTGGTAGCGATGAAAGGTCACAAGTGGAAGGGATATAATAATAATACAATATAACTGTGGCTGAAGTATTTACTTTTTATTCTTTTATTTATTGTTCACAAGGTTGACTATTATTACTATTTAATTATAGATCAACTCTTGGGTTGAATTAATGTATTGCGGAGGCAAACGTACAGTAATCTATGCAGCGTAATGACTGAATGTTACCGCAGAGTGGCGCGAAACTTGATTCGTCGACACTCGCGCTGTGTGTTGCTTAATTTAATAAGCTGCCGAACTTCAACTATGGTGATGGTTGCCGGAAGGGACGCCCTTTTTGCAGGTGCGAACTTGACGACGCGTACTGGAATTTATTCCGCACTGTCGTTCTAGGAGGAGCTTTGTAGCACTTAGTTGCTTGTCGATGTAATACTCTGAATCTCAATATATATGTAATTATTGTAGTAATAATACTACTTACGAAGACTAATTGTTAACTCGTCTCCGGACTCTGATGTGCGGATTGTCGTCACACACTTTGAACATGTAACGACGGTTTCTTGAACTGCGTTAGTGGACATACGGGTTTATGTCGTCGTTTTTCTGGGACGGGTAACTACTGTTGCTTGAACGTGTTAATGGACAATCCGAAGAAGTGTAAGTCGTCGCTCCTTTTGAACATGTAACGGTTCTTGAACTGCGTTAATGGACATACGATGTATGTCATCGTTCCACCAGGACTTGTGACTACTGTTTCACTAACAGTGTTAATGGACTTTCACTAAACTTAACTGAGTATGAAATATCTCAGGGTATACTATATTGAGGGAGTACTACTAAAAGAGAAATATCAAGAGTATACTACTAAGAAGGAAATATCAAGAGTATACTACTAAGAAAGAAATATCAAGAGTTATATTAAGAGAATAATATCAAGAGTGATAAATATTGAAAATTGCGTCCCTTAAATACATTTGCTGACCATGAATTTGTCTTGAACCCCTTCCCTTATTTTTCGTCCAATCAGACTCCTCCCTTATAGTGCTAGGGCAGCGCCTCTTTTGGCTTCGGAGTTAATTAAGGGCCTAGTCGTCTCTGAGTCTTCATGATGAGCAGATCTCTCATTACTGCTGCCGCATGCGACAGCATGTAGGCAGCGAAAAGGAGGGGCATCGCTGACGTATCTGGTGACAGCATTTCAACTTGTCGACAGCGGGAAGGGGAAGGAAGGTCCGCTTGCAGTAATGCTTGAAGTAGTTACCGAGCGGAACGAAAATGCAGATATCTAACTATGGATTTTTCCCGTGTTTATTGTATTGTTTTTCCCGTATTTATTGTATTGTTTTTCCAGATGTTTTATGACACTAGTGCTTGATAATTTCGAGCAAGAAAGTTTTGAAATCTAAATACAAATTTTACGATGTTACTTGCCAGATGTTTTATTGCATTGACAAAAAAAGGAAAAGGTCTCGCATTCTCGAACAGTACTGATCATAAATTAATATCATATTAGCTAAAATAAAATAATATTCAATATCTTCCTGTAATGCTGTTATGCGCTTTTCTAACTAATCTTATTTTTTATCTATTATTTATTTAATATTATTTATTTAATCTTCATATTGTTATTCCTTTACGCTCTGCATGTTAGTCCTTTACACGATTTTAATCCATTGTTATCCTCATATATTTTTAATTTGTTAGAGCTACAATAAATAGCTCTATATCTTTCCACAAGAACATAGTCAATATCTCTTGTTTCCGTCGTTTTTCTATTACTTTATTATGCGATACTTGCTTTTAAAATATATATATTCATTTTCATTTTAATTATTATCATCTAATCTCTTTTTTCATTTAATGTTGTTAACTTTTGTATAGCAATGACTCTTATTAAAATCATAAATAAGTACAAAATAAATTAGTTACTTATCAATATTATATAATACTTTATATTATATGATTATATAATTTTACATCATACATTGCTTAATGATGATAGAAGAAAATAATCTTCTTAATTTAAATTACATAAGATTCATTAAGAAAAATAAATATTTAAAATATATCAATTGTTATTATTAATCCTAGCAAAACTATTATAACAGAAAATTCCGAAAATTTTCATAAATTTATTAGTAAATAAATTAAGTATATGTATATGGTATAAATTAAATTAAATCGTAGTCACAATTACTAAAATAAACTCATTATCTAATTACAAAGTAACGAATTAAAATATTTTTTTCATGATACTTAAGTTATTATGTATTTCATTTATATTACAATATACTGTAAATGTCTTACCATTGATTATTTTTTACGTATTATTTCAAAAATATTTTCATATATGATTGATTGTCTTATGAAACCAAGATTTTCTGTAAAAATAAAAAAATTTATTATTTAATATTAAAATATATATATATATATATATATATATATATGTATATAGTAAGAATGAAATTTAATAAATATAAAATTTTATCATTAAATTATCATGTAACAAAGATTACTTATATATCGAACATAAAAATTATTATCATATCATCGTTGTTAAACATTTAAAAGTAATGATATGTCATAGCATACCATATACTCACTTACTTCAATTTAACGAAAAAATCTAATCGAAGAATATTGTATTTTAAAAAATGTAGTAGTATTGAAGAGCGTAGACACAATTAAAGAAGATGATTTAATTCAACTATGATAAAGAGTATATATAGTATATTATATATATTATATTATATATATAATAATATTAAAAAACTATATATAGTAAATAGGAATCACCTTCACTTATAGTAAGTGATCTTGACAAGCATTAAAAAGTTATAAGGTGAAATTTTATCATTAAAGAATCATATTCGGAGGCTCTATTAGGCATTGAAAGCTTTATATTTACTATCAAAATTTGTTATATTTTTATTTTAATGCTTTATATTTATCTATTAAATATTTATTGCTTCTAGTTACATAGTTCATGATTATCATTTATTTATTTATTATATTTTTATCATTTATTAAATAATTCATTCTTTAAACTTATAATAATTTATTTAATTAAAATTTTTAAATTGGAAGAAAATTATTAATAAACGATTTATATTCATTTTTAAATGAATTAAATAGTTTAAACAATATTTTATTTTTTTAGATTATCCAAACACAAACTAAAACGTATTATACACTATTCTGATTATAACCATATGTACAGATATGAGTTATATCATACATTCATTATTTTTTGATAAAACGTACATGATGTAATGAAATTGAAATGAAATACAATTACCTATAGTTTATATATCTTGGATTTATATACAGTTATATCTAAGTCAAAATATTCTAGAACTAACCAACTTTTAATAAAATAATATAGGAAAAATGACAAAGAGACAGATATGATAGAAAAAGTCCGATATGAATAAATTAGTATGGAAATAATATTTTTATACATTTTCATTTTATAACTATGAGTTTATAATTCTATAGAACCTTTTAGAAAAAGGGTACTAATAATCATTATAAAAAACATCGAATAATAGAGACTATTTTTGGTTACTAATAAAATAAGGTGAGCGACAGAAACGTATAATGAAGACATATGAGCACTAGAATGCAAAATAAGTTAGCAACGCGAGACATTTTATGAAATTTAAATAGGAATGACCTAAGAACCTAAATTATGGGTGTTCAGATTGTATCGAAAATTCAGAATATAAAAATTTAAAAAAATAGATCATGGAACTATCTAATGAATACAGCGAAGAACTTGCATTGAGCTAATAAACTACAACTATTATAAATATGAAGAACAAAATTGTTATATAGAATTTTGAAGTAAAGACTAAACTTATTGTAAAAAAAAACTAAGGAAAAGTAAAAGAACTAAACAATAAAAAATATATAATCTATTTTTGAACAAAATTATTAGAACATGTTAAATAAAACATTGTTAAAAGAATTTTAATTAAAAATTAAAAAATAAATTTAAACAATGAATTAAAAAAAAGAATTATAGAAAAAACAAGAACAAATGATAAAATTATGAATTAATAACATAGTATGCAACTGCATTTAGGATTTAATAGAAATAAAATATATGTAATAATTACAACAATTTTAGTTTTTTCTTATTTATATCTTTCTATATTTATTAGCTAGAGAATAATTTATTATTATTTTATTTTAATTTAATTTATTATTATTATTATTATTATCTATCTTTTTTAATTCTGTGGATGTATGTAACAATATTTTAATCTTTTGGTTACCTTAAATTTGTAACTAAGTAACGGAAAGCAAATTTTGCAAGTAAATAGCGAAAAACTTAATACCTCAATTTATTATCAACTTTATTAACTAACAAAATAGTATTGGTTTGAGATTTATCGTCAATACTCGAAGATTACCGCTTAATCGATCTTTATTATAAATACTTACTAATATGTAACTACTGGTAAATATTGTGAAACTCTTTCTCACATTTTGAGTTTTTAAATTAAATTTATTTTTATTATATTCTATGTTTCTTACACTAACATGTATTTCACAATGTAATGAAATATATTCCTCGTTGAAAGGGATTTGCATATTATCAAGTGCAAATAAAAAAATTGTAGTTCCATCAATGGATTAAAAAATACAAAATTATTAAGCCGTATTTAAGGATAATATTTGTTGAGAATGCATAAAGCATTAATAAATACAATTGTATAATTTAATTATAATTGGTATTTTAGGTCCTTGTAACTTCTATCTACAAATATTGTTTACATGTTTTAAAGTTTTTTATAACTATAGATACATAATAATATAATATATACATATAATGATAAATGTTAAATACATAAAGATGATTAATGTAAATATATGTCGTATATTAATATAGTAATTATTGGGATGAAAACTATATAAAGAATTCTATAAAACCGTATAAAATTCTATTACGTTTTGAAATTCAATATTATTTTCGCATGACTCATTATATGAACTTTTTGAGTTTAAAAAAATATCTTTTTTTTTTTTAAATTAAAAAGTTTATTTAAATTTTTTTAAAAATTTGTTTGTTTGTTTAAAAAGTTTATTTAAATTAGAGTAATATAGTAAAGACGGTTGAAAGTTATGACAAACTACTGCGTATTATAAGGGAACAATGAAACCAAGTAGTTCTATAAAAACTGACAGTTTCTCAGAAATGAAATTCAGGAACCACCTTAATTTCATGATTTTACAAAATACAAATTAGGATATGATTGGATTTTTAATACTGGGATTGTTACGGATTAAAATGTTGAAAGGCGAAAGTGGGAGTGTTATGAACGCGCAATTCAGTTATTTAAACAAAACAACAGCAACGAACGTTCCAGGCTATGCCCTGTTGACGTCATGACCAATACTTTCATGGCAACAAACACCGGCGTTAAGAAATAGTACGATAATATTTAAGGGTTGCGCTTCATGCGCAGCAATCAGTCTTGCCTCAGTCTAGTAACAATTACACAGTCATTATAACAAGCGCACTATTCATCTTCAAGCTTTTCTCTACAGTTATCACTGACTGTAGCGGTATACATACGTAATAATCAACTAAGTAAATAATCTAAGAAATAAATAACGACGCTATATTCTAAATTCCGTTAAACTAAACTCAAACTAATAACGCGCTAGTGCTAATATAAAACAAGAGTGAAAACATAAAAATAATATTATATATGCTCATGGATTAGACCGACGCATATATCGGCAGCAGCACCAACGCACATATCAGCGGCGGTACCAACGCATAATACAAATAGCGGCGGCTCTAACGCATACTATGATAGCACCTACTCATTTTACAACGAAAAGGATATACACTCATCAACACGTAAAAATATAGAAGAAACTTCATATATTTAATTCAATCATACCATTATTCATATACTTCATGATCATTAATTATTTATTATATTATTATATTTAATAAAAAGTAAGACAAGAAATACTACAATTAGTTTTGAATAATTGCATTGTCCCTTCCACTTGCCAGCAATACCTCCACCCAACATCCAACGGAGGTTTTCAGTCTGATCCCAGACAAGGATCTAATATTTAAAGATCGTCTAAAATCAATCAATAAGCATGTATTCGAAACTGTCTGATTTCTTGGCTCGAACTATATTCGATAGCCAATTTTCAATAGCTTTAATTTACCGCCCGCCCTAGCGGATGCTTGGGAAAGAATTAAGTGGAAGGGCTGTAGAAATACGGTATGCGCTTCATCGAAAAATATGGTTTATTTACAGTTACACTATTGTTTGGTTGCATTTATATGTTATGGAAAAGTAACAATTATATTCAATCACGTCGTTGTGGTTGCTTCGTGTTGAATAAGTTGTCTACTCCAGATGCTCCTTGATAATGATCATGTTATTGTTGATCTTGTAAGGATCAACAACTGATTATGCACACTCCTTATTAGTGAGTCTGATTTGTGCTATTAATACTAGCGTCATGCTAGTCTTGTAAGGACTGGCAATAACTAAGCACAGACTTTGTTTACGCACAGTTATGCAGTAGCCTTGATTTGATCTCGTGATGAGTAATTCACTATTACGAATGTTCATTGTTGATGGTGATAAATCGTTGCTGATTTTGCAGGAATCAGCAATGATTGTGCACGCTCCTGATCAGGGAGTATGTCTTATGTCGTAAGGCGTTTTCTTGATATGAACGAGATAGGATCAGCACCTTTTAATTGCAGGCAGGAGAATTGATGCGTCTTCTTTCTATCGTATGATCGAGTAGTCTTCGTGCGTGAATACATGACTGACTACGTCAATGATTGAAAGTCTACTGGCGCTTTCTTAATATCAAAAAGATAGGATCAACACCATTTAATTGCAGCATAGGAGATTGATGCTGACAACAAAGGGCCGATCATTGCGCTAGAAATAATGGGTGCGCCTGTGGTGCGAAGAACAATGAAAGTGAGTGTGCACGTGTATAATTTCTAATGTACCGACTTTTCTAAATTTACAACCGTTGAATAATTTCCTTGAAATGATAGGCATTGGAATTTTCCCCAAATGATAATTCCCCAAAAAGAGATTCTCTGAATCTCGAACAGCGTGAATAACAAAAACTATTATATATGTATAAATGTTCTTAGTAGAACTGTTTAGCAAGTGTAAAAAAATTTTCTAAAAGAGCGAAAGAGACAAAAAGGGACAAATATATTTATAAAAAGAAATTTACTTAAAAACAAACAACATTCAATATACATAGTGATCAATATAATTAGATACGTATACTTATATACTTTTAGAGTAATCTTGTAACAATTTTATATTGTTGTTGTAATTGTTGTATTCTACTTATAATGTAATTCAATAATTTATTTAATGTTATTTGTTAATAATTATCGTTATCTGATAAGTTAAATATAAATAATTGTAGATGATAACGATAATTTATTTCTATCTTTTTTTGCTGATAAAATTAGAATTTGTATTAGCCTTATTTCTCTTAAAATAATAGATTAGATAATGATTAATTACTGATAATGAATTGAAAAAATTACTCGTCATTTATAATACTTGTATTTTGCTTTCTTTTTTCTAATTAAGATAATTGATTTTTTTATTTTAATTAATCTTCTATTTCTTTTATCTATTGATTCATCAATTAATCAACAATTTCGTCATTCTTAAATTTACCAATATTTAAGAATGTTCCAGATTGCGAGACCTTTTTTCAATGTAATATAACAGCTGGCAAAACAACATCGTAATTTGTTTTTTAAATATCAAAACTTTCTTGTTCACAACCATCTATCAATAGTGTCATAAAACAAAAAATAAGACAATAAACATGAGAAAACCCAACTCATTAGGCATCTGTACGAATTCGCTCCGCTCGGTAACTACTTCAAGCGGTATGTACCAGCGACCCCCCCCCCGCTGTTAACAAGTTGTCATGCTGTCGCCAGGTGCATCTGCGGCAACAAGAGTTCTTCTTGCAGTGAACACCAAGAGATGACTACGCCCTTAATTAACTATGAAGCCACGAGAGGCCTTGCCCTCGCTCTATAAGCGAGGAGTCTCTGATTGGACGAAAAATAAGGGAAGTGGTTCAAGTGAAGTTCGTGACCTGCAAATGTATTTAAGTGGCACATTTTTCAATATTCAAACACTCTTGATACAGTACTTATTCAAATAAAAAGTAGAAGTCTATTGACATAGTTCAAGAAAACGGTCATTACAAGTCGTTAAGGACAGAAGACATATGTCCCCTTATCGGAGTCCGAAGGAAAGTTTACTATTAGTCCTCGTAAGTATTATCACCACAACAATAATCAATTAAAACTTAAGATTCAGAATTTACGTCATCGGCAAGTAACCAAAGACGAAGAGGCTCTCACCAGAGAGACAGTGCGGAATAAGTCCAAACTCGTCGTCAAGGTCGCATCAACTGACGCGAAACTTGCCGGCCTTACCCTCACCTTAGTTCAAAGTCTGACATTTATGAATCCACAGCGTGCCATTCAACGCTCATAGCAGACGCAACACGTAGCAGTACCCTTAATGAGGTAAAAGCCCTTCAAACTGTTACTTATATCTGAATTTATTGCAGTACGCCAATATTAGGACTAAGGTACGCTTGCTATGATCCGAGCATATTTTCAAGTAATAACAGTTACATGTGTTGCACTACATTACAACCATAACCTCAATTACGGACGTGCTCACACAAACAGCGCGAGTGTCGACAAATCAAACTTCGCGCCATTCTGCGCTCATATTCGAACCATCACGCTGCATTAATGAGTGTACGTTTGCCACAGCAATTTATTAATATTTGTATTTTCATTATTTTATAATTGCTTATCTAATATTTTAGATTTTATTAACTCACCCTGTCTGAACTAAGACTGCTGCTAGGATGGATTGTAATACCAATGAAACATTGACAATTGAAATAATGATGATCCGACTGTAACAAATTTGGTAAATAGGAGTCTCTCTGCTGGATGATCCTGCTAATCTTTCGCAGAAAGTCATGACATTAATTTCATGAATTTCTGCAGACCATGTAGCTGCAAAAAGATTAAGAAGATAAACTAATTTTAGTTATTATGATTCGTATTTTACTTTAATGTGTAAAACATACTCAAATATAGTTAATAGGAATATAGGAAGTAAGAATATATTAAAATACTTGAATATCGTCTATTCAATTTTTTCGATTAAATCTATTTATCTAGAAGAAATTTAAAGACTTTTTTAATTTTTTATATTTAATTTTTTGTATTGATCTCATTATATATTTCTATTTTTTAATACTTCTGTATTTTCCAACGTGTTCTCGCTAATTCTTTATATATGTAATTTATATTGTATATATTTTTTATTAAATATTGCTTCATAATAATACTTTATTATTTAATACTCACTACATTTTAACCTATATAGTAGATAGTTTATATTTAATAGATAATGCAATCATAAGAGTTTTCATCATACAATAACACATTTTTTTTCAATGTTTAATTCTGTAAAATTGTTACTATTCAACATAATATAAAATTTGTTTTTTATATTCCATTGCATACCATATAATTTTGATTAAAAGAACAATTTTTTAACGAAATCATAATGAATGCATTAATAGATGTTTTAGATTAAGAGATATTTAATAAATTAATAGATTAATGATTAATAGATAATTTTTAATTTTCAACCTTCTTTAATTAGTAGGAAAGAGAGTATTGAAATTGACTTCCTAGAATTATGATAAAGGAAGACCAGTAAGTATTTTTCTTAATTTTCTTCTTTTTTTATTACATTCCGGTTATACTAGATAAAAATATTGAATACTTTTAACTAATTAATTCTTATACTCCTACAGGTATCATTAATATCTAAAATGTAATGTTTTCAATAATATATTTGGGTGGTGCTTCAATATTATATATTTTACTACTATAACAAAACAAATTTATTATTGCTGTATATGACATATAATAGAAAAAAATAACAAATTAAATTATAATTTTGATGAATAGAATAATGTGGCGTAGATTGATAAAACTAATTCAAATTAATATGTTTGCAATACTGGTGTGCATAACAATTAAATTTTTTATTTTTATTATCAGTACAACTGGCCCTACCACTTTTATATAATAGATTAAACGCAAGAATAATTGTAAGATAAATGTTATTTTACAGCAGCATATTTAATAACTTAATAATATTCCGATTAATAAAAAGAGAGAGAACAGAGCCCAATAAACTAAAAGAAATAAGTTATTAAATAAATATGATATATAATTTAATTTACCTTTTATGAATTTCTATATAATCTTAATTATGCTATATAATTATGAAATTATTTAAAATAAAATTTATTCAAATATTTTTGGTCTTTAAAAAAAAATTTATATATTCTTTAAAAATATCTTATTTTTTTAACTCACGCTGTAAAAGAAATAAAATTACTTTAATAATAGTAACTACCATAATAAATTTTGAAAATATGAATTATAGGTATAAAGGTATTCATTTTTAGAATATTTAGAAACACAGAATTAAACTTCGAAGCTATTTTGATTTAATTGTTTAATTTTGTGATACATTATATTTTTTAATAAAAAATAAACTATATCAATTATAAAATTAAAACTTAATTATTTAAAAAATTAAAGTTTGTTGATGTATCTATATCTCTTCTCTAATTGTACTAATCTTCCAAGTAATTTGCAAAGTAATTTGTATAATTTTATAATAATAATTGATATAATTTTTTTACCGTTTCTCGCATTTTGCAATACCAATAATAATTTGTATCAACAAACTTAAATTATATTACTTTACATATGAGGATTTCAAGTTTAACTATGTTTTGGAATGATACTAAAATACAAACTTTTAAATACTATCACAATAAATACATTAATTGATAAATTAATTTATTTCCAATTTTGGGTATTTATAAAAATATTATTCATTAATTGCAAATTATCAATGATAAATGTAAAATATATTGATAAAAAAAGTTTAATAATCATTATTAATTTATTATTGAATAAATGTTAAATTGTAAGATCATTTTTAGTTTTGATTTCTTTTTAAGTATTTTATTATGATATAAATATGTATATAATATAATATAATATTTAGAAAAAATATACATTTGACGAGACTATTAGTGTAAGAAGGGATAATATATATTTTTATTATTTTAATCTGTTAAAAATTAAAAATATTATGTATATATTCATTTTATATTTATTTTAAATTCAAAGTGATTTATATCGAAAATAAATTACCTAATGAAACATATCAAATTGTATATTAATATATAATATGAAATAATAAAATATAATTAAATAAACTTCAGCCAAAGTCGATTCATGATGAAAGTAATACTCATGTTGAATGTTACAAAATGATTGTATGGAAAATCTGTACTAGGAAAACGATAACAAAAAATACAGCAAAGTTTATAATTGATAAATCTCATGTAATTGTATATAGACGTATAATCTCTCTCATTAAAGTAAACATAATTAAATTGTCAAAATAAAAATATTTTGAACATATAACAATTTAAATATATAATAATGACAAACAATAACTTTAATTGATTTATTTATTAAATATTATTCTAGTATTTAAAAAAGTTTAATGATTCGACCTACATAAACGATATAACCATATTATATAAATAAATGTCCAAATACGTTAAATTTATACATACTTAATAAAAGTAATTTAGATATTATTTTAATATATTATATATAAAGATACAAGCTTCAAAATTCTTTTTTTGCAATGTATAAGTTAATAAAGAATCAAGAAATTCATAAGACAGACATATTTATATAAAAGATATTCGGATATGCAAACTGCAAATTTGAAAAATATTTAAAAAAAAAATAAAAATCAATAATAAAAATTTAGGTTAAATGAAGTTTAAAACTTAATAAATATTAAATATTTAATATAAAGAATAATATGTTGAAATTAGTATCCAATCGCTAAAGGTATATAGACTGCGTATGTGCGTGTAAACGAAGGTAATTTTGTATGCGTATGTGTCCATATCAAACAGGTAAAATTGTTATAACGTCGACTATATTTTTTGTCTTATTTTCTTAGTTATCATCTCATATGGTTTCCTAATATTCGTTGATCATTTGATTTACGTACTTTGAACTTTTTCTGAATATTGAATTACAGAAAATTATTCAGATTGTCACTTTTTGTTGTTCTTTTGTCTTATACTCTATGATCTTCTTTTGAAATTATTATATTTCAACATGGATGCTTTTCCTTGTCACGAGAATGCATGCGCGCATTACAATATTAATCTATGTTAATTCATTAAATCAACGGTGACATTGTTCTTGATACGTATTTAAATGCGAGATATAAAGTAAGTATAATAAAAATTGAATAGAATTGTAATAAATAAATGTAAACAAAGAAAATCAGAATAAAGTGCAACAGAGAAGCAGTTTTACGTAAAATTTAAATGTTAAAATTCTAAATAAATAAATTAAAAGTAGAATTATTTTAAAAAATATTAAAAATTTTAATCATTAAAGTATTTCAAAATGATGGAATCATTTATATTAAATATGTTTATATAGGTAGTATTAACAATACTAAAAATTAAAAAGGAGTTTTGTTTTATATACATAGTTTGTATAAAATATTATTAATGCTGCGTTTGTGTGTATTTGTATTGATTGTATGTATTTCTACTAATAAATGGTAGTTGTTTGTATTATTTTTTTAAATATATGAATAGTTAAAGTTAAATGTTTTTTCTAAAAATATAAACTATGTTCAAATAAAATAAAACTAAACGCTAAAAAATATAATATTATTTAAATTTTATGGAAGAATACACATTAACAAAAAGATTATGGCAATGCAATGAAAAGTAAAAATTCAAAAACAGGTGATTATGCTAATATTTCTTTCTCGTTTATTTTCCTGTCTCAAACTTAAACATAAGCGTTATAAAATAATCAAACTCTGAATATTTTCTTGAAGTTGAATCTTTAAATTTTCATATTTGACATTCTTGCTCATTGTAAAAATAATTTATTAACCACATTAAATAAAAATATTTTGTTTACGTACTTTAAATAATATAATTTTAATAAATGGCCATCTCATATATTATTTTTTTTAATTAATATTATTCTAATTTTTTATTACTTTTTATATTAAATTCATAGAATTATTGATGTGTACATATACTATTTTCATTTATTTATACTTCATTGAAAAGATACTTTTGAATACTGTGGTTGACACGAATCCATGATACTAATCTCATTAGATACTCTCATTAATTAAGTAACTTCAGTTTATTAATTCCGTTTTTCAAATTTGGTATATATATTTAATTATTTAATTAATTTATTATTAACTATTTCAGAAAATTATATTTATATGTATTATATTCATTATTTTTCTTTTTTTTTAATTAATTATTGTTCATTATAATTTAGAACTTATTTGTTCTAGTTGATTCAGTCAATTATAAATTGTATACATGATAAATATAATTTATGAACATTAATAATATTTTAATCAAAATAAAAAAAAATTTTATATTATTAATTAATTTATTCTTATATTTTGCAACGTAACAATAACAACGTATATATATGCATTTTTAATAATATTTTTTTTCAAACCGTAGAATTATATAATTTGATTCCGCATAATTCATAATTGATTTCGCGTGATATTATTTTAAATAATATATGTTTTTTAATATTATTATAGTATTCTAAATTATTTTCTTCTAAGTATATCAGAAATCTACAAAGATTGGAACATAATATTATCTATTTTCGAATAATACCTGTCAGCTTTTAAAAAATTTGGTTAATGACATTTTGTATAAAAAATAATTTTTTTTTATTATTGCCTATACTTTAAAACAAATATAATTTTACTTTCATCATAA